AATCATAACCTACCTCAATAAGATAGTGTGTAACAATGACTAGACCTGTAACATGTCATTTATTTAACTGAGGAGTCATTTCATGGACTCTAACACACTGATTTTACACATCACTAAGATAAGGCACTATCAAGTAACTGTAAAGTGCCAATTAGCTCAGATTTCAGAAACATTAAAAGGCAGAAAGTGTTCTTATAAAACGACAGTAATACGGGTCACAGAATACCTTCATAAATATGAAGCTGAGAAACTACATGGATAATTGAATAGATAAACAAGTACTTCCTGAGACCTCCTGTGTAACCCACACTGGAAATCGACTGTCAGGTAACAGACCTGGTCCTTCCCTTCCGAAAGTCACATGTTCTTCAGCTGCCACCTCTCCATATGTACCCTACCCATCTTTCTTTCTTTCTAAAATGCTTTCCTTGGGGCCAGCAGGTCACATGGTGGTTAAGGCATTGGACATTTCCACAAGGCCAACCATGGATCAAGTCCCAGACGTGGAGGCTCGCTTTCTCACTCCCACCCACCCCTGTGTGTCTCTCTATCAAATTAAAATAAATGAATAAATAAAATTAAATAAATCATTCTTTAAAAATAAATAAAATGCTTTTCTTTATTCATGATAGGGTGCCTATGTACACACTGACAGTGAGTAAGAGGAAGCAAGCACTCCCCAATGGAGCTTGTCACACTGCAATCAATCTTTTTTTTGGAGAGGTTTTTTTTGCTACAGGGTGCATGCGCTCGCCAGACAGACAGAGAGACAGAAAGCAAGAAATCACCACCCAGGGGGGATAGCCACACCGCAATCCCTTCTCCTCCATTCTCCTCTCAGGATCTTGGGCACGCGCACACATACGCCTGGCGTGAGTTTTAAGCCACTGGGTCCGGGACACGAACTGTGGTAGACTACATGGGAGTCCAGCGACATAGACATTACGCTAACTGCTGGTCTCACTGCAATCTTTTTTCTCCAATTCTCCACCCTGTCAGGATCCTGCGCATACACATGTGTGCCCAGTGTGGTGTCACTAAGGCTTAGGATTCGAACCCAAGTCCATCGTGTGGAATCCGGCTTCTGCATGGTGCTTAACCACTGCACTACAAGACCAACCCTCTATCTATCTTTCAACTTCAGTTCAACTCGCGATGCCTTCCCTGATTACTGCAGTGTAAGCTCTCTCCTGTCTACCCACTCCCACAACTGTCGTTAACTCTGGTGCTCATGAGAGCATGAGTACGTATGGTCCTCTCCAGCTACATTCCACTTTAAGGGGCACCTGCCTTCATCCTCTATAGCAATCAGAACTCACTGGCATCTACTGGGAATCTGAAAAACGTAATGTCTCTAGAAAAACAATCATATGTTCATACGTACGTTGAGTTACATGTAGATACGCTACTGAATACAGCAACATATATTTGCAATTTCAGGGATCATTCATGCTCCATGTAAGTTTCATTAAAATAATTCAGTACATACAACCAGCAGTTAGCGAAATGGCTATGTCGCTGAACTCCCATGTAGTTGACTACGGTTCGAGTCTCCGACCCAGTGGCTTAAACTCACATTGGGCGCGTGTGCATGCGTACTGAAGATCCTGAGAGAATGGAGGAGAAGGGATTGTGGCGTGGCCATCCTCTCTGGGGGGTGATTTCTCTCTTTCTGCCTCTCTGGCGAGCGCATGCACCCTATAACAAAAAACCTCTCAAAAAAAAAAAAAATTTGGTACAAGAAAGCACACGTTTTTAAAAAAAAAAGCTAAATATTCCTTTTAAAAAAGGTTTTTGCTATAGGGTGCATATGCTCACAGGAGAAAGACAGAGACAGTGAGAGGGAAAATGACAAGTCACACCCCCCTCACTAGAGGAGATAGCCATGCTGCAATCCCTTCTCCTCCATTCTCCTCCTGAAATTTTGGGCCTGCACACACACACGCCAGTATGAGTCTCAAGCCACCAAATCTAGGACTCGAACCTTAGTTGGCTATTTGGGAGTGCAGTGCCTTAACCACATGCCACTGCTGGCCCCAATATTATTTTTGAAGAGCACTGCCTAAAACATCAGACATTTGGAGAAGAATGTTATTAAGCCCCACTAGTATTCTAAGACAGAATGCAGTAATTCCAAATATACTTAGATTCACATAAAGCTTGAGTTGAAAGAGGCCTACATTTAAGACAAAACTTATAAATTAAGTTAGGCCTTGAAAAGTATATATCAATATTTCAATCAATAATAATTGAGTGCAGAACAAGGAAGGTCCAGTACAATTTCACAGATGATAGGAGATCACAACCACCAGTCCAGCCAATGTAAGTCACACCTAGTAACCAGTCTAAGT